AGGGAACCATTAATAGCCCTGTCAGTAGGTGGTTGTTGTTAGTACTTTCAACTCCCAGGCTAAAACTTCCAGGGTACCTTTGTTTCTTTTAGACGGGCAATGTGGAAGGGGTTTTGATTTTGTCTTTAGGACGTGGTTTTGACTTTGTCTTTAGGATTTCGCGGATGCTCACGCAGGCTACCTGAGTATCCCGAATATTAGTTGTTTCAACCTTTGTTCCCAGACAATAAATGCGATCTTTAATTAACATTAATAGGGCAGATGTTCCTGTTAAGGCGTAATTTAAAAAAAAAAAGGATATATGTTCTCTTTTGATCCGATATGAGAGAACGAAAGCAGTGCGCTCACGCTTCCACTGATGACCAAATTTATTTGGCAAATGAGGATAAACGATTCACTGCATATTCCTAGTAGTTTTCCTATAAACTAATCGAGGCATGCGAGGAATCATTTCCATAAATGTTTTTCTGTTTTAATGGATTATTAGTTCTTATGCGTTTTTGCGTCGTTAACAGTAATTTTGAATATGAGAAATAGTAAATTAAGTGTCGAAATATGAGAATTTTTTTTGGATCGAAGATGAAAAACTTATTAAACGCTTCCTCAAAAAAGAATTACAACCCTTTCGCTTTCCTGCCCCATTGCATCACAAATTTGCTTTCCTCAGTGCTGTTTCCTGAGAATTTTTTGGTAACTGTTACAACCAAAATCGCTTGGATAGTCAGTGTGGAAGTGTTACTTACTGCTTCTTTGATATGCACATAATTTTTTAATATTTGACGCAAATAACACCAATATTTTTATCATACTTAGAGCTGGCCGAAGTCTGAATTCTGCAGCACCTCAGTACTGCCTAGTTTGTTGCCACTTCCATACCACGGTGAAATGTCTTGTGTGTATTTGTGCATGTGTTCGTCTGTTCAGGTATTTCAACTGGCAACCAAATAAGCTCCGGCGCCAAAATTTTGTCAGTTCTCCTGGCATTTTCGTTGAAATGAAGTACGTTTTTATTTTGGCATTGACGACCGGCTTTAGATCGTTGCATCTTTTCTCGGATTAAAAAAAACTAAAATTCCAAGTGCATTACTACCAATCAACCGCTGGCAAAGTAAAAAAAAACAGGTTTTTTTGGTGGCTTCAACCCACAGACACTCTACCCAAGTAAGACACATGGGCTGCACCTTGGACAAACACATCACTAGGACTTTCTCCCCTAATTGACACTATCATTATGAACAATTTTTTTTTCCATCATTTCTCCGCCCGCTTCCGAATCCATCCATCAACGCTTTTCCCACAAATATCTTGGAAAAGGTGTTGTATTGTTGTTACCTTTCTCCAGCACTTTTCACCGTTTCGAGCGCCGTTTCGCGCATACACGTTGCCTGTGCAATCTTTAACAAAAAAAAAAAAATCCACCTTCTTGGGTTATCTATATCCCAAGTCGCAATCGTCACACTGACAACAATCAGCAAATATCCTCCCCTCTCTTTTCGTCGATTTTTCCTCAGCCCACCCTTCTGTCGTCTGCAAATTTCGTCTGCATTTTTCTTTTTTTCTTGTTGCTGTAATATGGATTTGTGTATGTACAATAGGGCCATCCGAATTTGAATTGCACTGATGATAACAGAGATAAAGATAATGAAGACAACCAGCGTCTTCATTTGATCATTACCTTTGTATCGTTACGTATTCCGCATTAATAATAATAAACAGATTTCTTGACTCGTTCCGAACGAAGAAAAACTGAGGGTCGAAGACTGAATCCAGGCTGCGACGCACCAGGCTAGCCGGTGCGAGTACACGTTTTTGCTTAACTTTTTACGCAGGTTTCACTCAGAAACAAATGCATTTTGCAACGAGCGACCGTCCTCATCCTCTTCCAACATCCAGTTCCAACTGGACATAAAAATGCATATAAAAATATGTTTGGATTTTCCGACAAACAATCGCTCTGGCAACATTTTTACTTTTCAATGCACATAAAAATATGCATTGAAAAGTAAAAATGTTGCTAGAGCGATTGTTCGTCGAAAAATTCAAACATATAAAATAACTGGATGTTGAAAGAGGATGAGGGCAGTCATCGCTGGCTTGAAACTTTTAAACTCAGTCTTCGAAATGCCGCAATATTTTATTGTAGATGTATGTGCAATTTAATGATATGCAGGTCACTACAAACTTTCCCATCTCAGCAAGCGTGGTATTCCATGTTTCACTTCTACGCAGCAATTTTCGGAGTCCGACAGTGGTATGTCTACGTTCGATTCTGGAATCAAGTGTGGCATAGAAGAGAAAAGATGTGAAACAAGTGATTGCTGTGGATATGTTAATAATCAAGTGCAAAAAAAATTTCAGTTTTTGAAAAAAATAATGAGCAAGTGGTGGTCTGAGTCTTCCAAAAGAAGAAAAACAAATTTTCCGAATCATTTAATACTGTAATGTAGAAATTTGCGCAAGAGCGTTAATAAATGTTCAAAATACATTTCAGGTTTTTCCACAAAAAAATCATGGTTTGCTTATCCAACACATACATATATATTGCCTCAATCAGGAATTTTTCCTTTTATTCAATTTCAGTAACAAGTAGTTTTCTCAGCGTATGAAAAAAAAAATATTTATTGCGTTTTTTTACACGGTGTAAGAGGATGGTTGTTATGATTCAATTGTGAGGTTGATGTGCGTGCCGTGACGAGTGCTACGTATTTCTCTGCCTTAAGTTTGTTTTCATATTAATTTCTTATCTGACAAAATGGAGTAAAATATTTTTAATTGCTGCGCGCTCGTCTTTCCCATGGGTACTAATTGGAGGTATGCAGCTCAGGACCGAGGATCTGGTATAACTGCGCTAGCTGGATAATCTTAGATACTCACACTGACAACTTGGACAGTCTTGGTATTCTTGGCAGATGTGTCTTTGAGTGAATGTTTTGTTGTATTTTCCCATCTCTTATGGGCTGCTATTATCCTTTACTTTGATAATTTAATCGTTTGTTGTTTCATCGTTGCGTTTCTTCTTGACATTAATGCAGCTGACAACTTCTCCATTCTAATCTTTTTCGTGCCTTTTTCATCCACATGATTCCATGCAGGCATTCGAATGGATCCTTCGGTCGCGCACTGGTTGCCTTTTCTTTGTTCTTTTAACACTGTGCAGTTACCATTTATCGAGTACCATTACGTTTTGACTTTTTAGTAAATGAAGTTGGTGAAAGAAAAGCTTGGTTGCAGATGCGTTTGTCGACATGACTGATTGAAATTGAAAAGAAAGTGAGTGAAAGTATTACTGGGGTGCGATGGCTTTTGTTGTACTACTGTCGGCCACAGAAATGAACGGCAACTTCGAAAAATTTAAAGAAAAACGACGGATGAGGCACGCGGTCACTATACTTGTCGGTGTTACTATTTTATTTGCACTGATCATTGTTATTGGTATCATCCTGGCATTCGAACTGCCACCAAAGAATCGAAAATTTGCTGCTGAAAAAGTACCGCTGCCAGAAGGTGACGGTGAGTTTTTTATAAAATTTCGATACTTCAAAAAAAAATTTCTATAAAAATTACGCGAAATTTATTTCCT